CATAGTCAATACTCTTATCTCAAAGAAAATTCAACTTTATTTATTAATCTAATATAGTTTTTAATTGAGATTTACTAAGTGGGAAAATAAAAACACCTAGTACTTTCCTAATCTAATCCTCAAAATCATCAAAAAGTCATTTAACCTGAGGATACAGACTTCAGTTATTTCTAATACTTTATTTGTAAATGATTTATTTAAGCCGTATTTCAAATCATCAATCATTTATTTAAATTAAAGTATGCTGCTAAATAACTGTGGTTTGTTCTAGTGATATTTAATGCATCTTCCCTGATCTTCTTTCCCACCAGCATATAAACATTTTCTGACTCACCTTACTCTATCGGGTTGTTTACTTATTTTCACACTTTGGCATATTTTGCTTTCCATAAATCCTGTAGCTCATCAATTATGTCACTGTTTGTTTTCTCTTATCAAATGTGACTAGAAAATATTAGAAGAAACAACTTTTCTACCTAGATTTAAAATTTTTTTTGTTTAAATCCATTTTTGTACTAAGTAAATAAATGCAAGGAATGATTTCCATCTTACCGATTTGTGTAAACTGCCTTATTCCTGTTTCCTCTTGTAGGTGGTTGTGAATGCTCTTGTTGGAGCAATTCCATCTATCATGAATGTGCTGTTGGTGTGTCTCATCTTCTGGCTGATCTTCAGCATCATGGGTGTGAATTTGTTTGCTGGCAAGTTTTACCACTGTGTTAACATGACAACGGGTGACATGTTTGAAGCTAGTGAAGTCAACAATTTGAGTGATTGTCAGGCTCTTGGCAAGCAAGCTCGGTGGAAAAATGTGAAAGTGAACTTTGATAATGTTGGCGCCGGCTATCTTGCACTGCTTCAAGTGGTAAGTGGCCACTGCGTACATTTCTAAACTTTTTCAAAATATTTACAGCAGGATTATTTCCCAGACTTTTTTTATTTGAACAATTAGTATTTGACACTAAATAAGATGATGATAAAAATCAGTTTCCGTAGAACTGATTCTGACTCTGTATGACTCTGTATGTGTCAGAGAGTAAAACTCCAATGGTTTTTCAATAACTGATTTTCTGGAAATATATTAACTGCCTTTTCTATTGAGATGCTGCTGGGTGAATTTCAGATTCCAACCATTCAGTTAGCAACCAACCACATTAAATGTTTTTACCACCCAATTTTTGATAATACGCATTATTTTGATTTCACTGTAAATAAGATGCTTTGCATAGTAATTTTAGAATGCATTTTATCCAGTGTCAAGCTCTTACCAGGCAAAATATTGAATGATTCAGAAAGCATCAAAAACAGATGGAAGGAATATGCAGAGTCACTGTGCCAAAAAGGTAGATGTTCAACCATTTCAAGTGATCAAAAAAACATTGATGCTGAAGGAAGAAGTCCAAGCTGCACTGAAGGCATTGGCAATAAATAAGGCTCTAGGAATTGACTGAATATAATTTGAAATATGTCAACAAACTGATGCAGCACTGAAGGTATTCATTCATCTATTTGAAAGATAACTAACTGGCCAACCTATTGGATGAGATCCCATTCCAAAGAGGTGAACCAACAGAATGTGGAAATCATCGAATAATATCATTAATATCACATGCAATTAAAAATTTTGCTGAAGATTATTGAAAAGTGATTGCAATAGTACATAGATAACTTCCAGAAATTCAAGCCAGATTTAGATGAGGATGTGGAACCAGAGATATCACTGTTGACATCAGATGGAACTTGACTGAAAGCAGAGAATACCAGAAAGATGTCTCCTTGTACTGTGTTGACTATACAAAGTCTTTTGATTGGATGGATCATGGCAAGCTATGGGTAACATTTTGAAGAATGAGTATTCCAGAACTCTTAATTATAATAAAGAAACTGTCCAAAGACCAAGAGGCAGTCATTTGAACAGAACAAGGTGTATTAAAAGTTTTAAAATCAGGAAAGATGTTTTTTTCTTTCGCCATCTATACTAAATCTGTATGCGGAGCACATAAACCAGAAACTGGAATATATACAGATGAATGTGGGATCAGGACTAGAGGAAGACTCATTAACAACCTGAATATGCAGATGATATAGCCTTCCTTGCTGGAAGTGAAGAGAACTTTAAATACTTTCTGGTGAAGATGAAAGACCACAGCCTTCAGTGTGGATTGCATTGTAAAGAATACTAAACCCCTCACCATTGGATTAATAAATAATGTCATGCTAAATGGAGAAAGGAGCTCTCAATTGGTGCTGTAGGATAAACACAGGACTGCTAACCACAAAGTTGACAGTTCAAACCCACCATCCGCTTCAAGGAAACCCTGTATAGGGTCATTATAAGTTGGAACTGATTCAAAGACACTAAACAACAACAAACAAATGGAGAAAAGATTGAAGAAGTCAAGCATTTCACTTTACTTGGATCCACTATCAACACTCACAGAAGCAGCAGTCAAAAAAATCAAAGGACATATTGCATTAGGCAAATCTGCTGCACAAGACCTCTTTAAAAGTGTTCAAGAATAAATATATCTGTTTAAGAACTAAAGTGCACTTGACCCAAGCCATGCTGTTATTAATTGTCTCATACACATGTGAGAGCTGGACAATGAATAAGGGAGACCATAGAAGAATTGATGTTTCTGAGTTATGTATTGGAGAAGAATATTAAAAGTACAGTGGACTGCCAGAAGAACAAACAAATACGGTCTATAAGAAGAAGTACAGCCAGACTGCTCCTTAGAAGTCAGAATGGCCAGACTTCGTCTCATATTTTGCACATGATATCAGGAAGGATCAGTCCCTTGAGAAGGACATCCTGCTTGGTAAAGTGGAGGGTCAGTGAAAAGGAGGAAGACCCCCAATGAGTTGTATTGACACAGTGTCAGCCACAAAGGGCTCAAGCATCACTACAATTGTGAGCCTGGGGCAAGACTAGACATAGTTTCATTCTGTTTTGCATAGAATGACTATGAGTCATTTAAAGGTTGGAATTGACAGCACCTAAAGGCAAGAAGTTCTAGGAGTCCCAGTGTGGTGCTGTAGGCTAATGAGCCAGACTGCAAAGCCATTTGAATTGCAAGCTTGGCAGTTCAAGCTCACTGACTGAACAACACTTAAAAACAACAAACAATAAGTTCTTAATCTGTTTTAATATTTCTGCTTCCTGCTTTAAAAGAATTTTGTTTGAGTCATGCTTTATTATTGAACCCTACTGAAGCAACCATTGCCAAAGGAACAATTTTACATATTAAAATAGCAATGTAAATATCATGTTGATGAATTAAGTATATAAATCAATAGCTATATAATTTATAGCACCAATATGTAAGGAGTATGATTTTACTTATGCATGGAAATTGCTATTTTGGGGGTTGAGTTTTCATATGTGTTTGTTGTTGTTGTTAAGTGCCATCTAGTCAGTTCCAATTCATAGTCACCCTGTATAGGGTTTCCAAGGAGTAGCTAGTGAGTTTGAACCATTAACCTTGTGGTTCAAACTGACCTTGGGGTAGAGTGTTTATGCTACAACTCCACACCAGTACTCCTAATTTTACACTTATTGAGTCATGTGCAAACAAACTATAGGTTTGAATCAGATAGTTGTCTTTTAGAATGAGAGATTTGAGGCTGAGATGGGAATTTCAGGAATCAAACCTTTAGTGTTTGAAATTTTAATGTAGAGAGAATAGGAGTCTCTTCCAAGATAAACAAAGGAAACAATGTTACTGACACTACATAAAAATCAAGCTATATAACAGAATTTCAAAACTTTGTACAAAATATTATTTACAACAATTCTACCATATATTCATCTGGTTGTGTGCTATATTCTTAGATGAGGTTTTTATTCTGAATTCAATTGTGTATTATTTGTAGGCCACATTTAAAGGCTGGATGGATATAATGTATGCAGCTGTTGATTCCAGAGATGTAAGTATCATTCAAGTTCTATTGATAGCTACTAGAAATTTCTATAGTGAACATTTGTGATTCTTTGACTGAAAGACCTGGCATTTTATATTAGATGAAATTAAAGATTTACCATTGCATATTAAAATATCCTTTTCAGTCAGTATGCTTTAATTTGGATGATATTTTAGCTTATCTATGTCTAATATATAATGTATATTTAATATGGAAGGATATCTAACTGAATATTCATGGACCAGAAGATAGCAGATTGGCCTTGTAGATGTGACTCTTCAGAATGGGAAAGATGCTTAGTGTGGAGCAGATAGCTTGTCTTTCCCTGTCCCTACAGAGAATAACAAGTTAGAGTCTGTGAAGTAGCTTCCAAGAATACCATGATACGGAAAAGCAAGCAAGATTGAGGACATTTTTATTTTGAAAATAGAAATAGAAAGAATTCTTCGTAACATACTTGTTTATGATGAATTTTCCTCTTAAAATTGTATGGTTTGTTACCAAGATCTAGAATTTATTTCTAAACCCAAATTTAAAATAACTATAAAAAGTAAATACATATTATAGCTAATAGGTTCAAAATGTTTTGCCATTTATATCATTTTTATGTATTCTAAAGTAAAAGATATATTAGCAGTCTTATAGGTAATATACATGGTAAAAAAAATTTAAAAACAGTCATAAAGTATATATCTTCGTTTTATTAGAGTATGCCAGATTTTTTAAAAATTGTTTTTGCAGATTTTTCAAGGTAACGCAAAAGTAGTTCTCATGTTAAGTATCACTCATCAAATTGTAAAGTTAGCCTAAGTATTCACTTTGATTTTTAAATATTTTTAATATTTTCAACATTATTTAGGTTAAACAGCAGCCAGTATATGAAGAAAATCTGTACATGTATTTGTACTTTGTCATCTTTATTATCTTTGGGTCATTCTTCACTCTGAATCTATTCATTGGCGTCATCATTGATAACTTCAACCAACAGAAAAAGAAGATAAGTACTCCTCAGCTCTCCCCTTTCTCCATCCTTAGGTTTTGTCTGTTATGTAACTAAATATCACAAATACTTGTAATTAGGGCAGACTATGGCACCTAACAACAACAACAACAATGGTGATTTTACATTTTTTTTTTCAGCTTATTGCACGGTTAATTTAGCTAAAGTGTACTCCATCTGATACTCTGGTCTCTCTCCAAATTCATCTCTGTAGCTGCTGTAGTGTTTTTTCTGACACATTAATATGACCACTGCTTCAAAACACCTAATGCTTTATAATTCAACTTACAGAGATTTTCAAGAATTACCTTTGCTCTGTTTTCCATCTTTATCTTCTCCTACACCTCATTCTCCACACGTACTCTCCCGACTCCCAGTCACCATCAGCATCACCTACTAAGCAGACTATTATTCAGCTACATTAAATGTTTTACCCCTCCTTGAATAAGCCATGCTTTTGTACTTAGGATGGATTTCTGTGTAATATTTTGTCTTCTTGGAATGGATTGCTGAACAAGCCCTTAATTGTCCTTTAAGGCCAGCTTAAATATTCCCATCTCTGAATAGCTCGTTTCAGACTCTGAGTTCCTTGTTGCCTCAACAGTGCACTTTTTTTTTTTAGCATATCCCTTTGTACTCTCCTCCTTTGGTTTTTGTTTTCTACCCAACTTGGGACTAAGACACTATGTCGTAAACATATTTCTATGCAATTCTGATACCTAGCACATTGTTTAGCATATTGTTGTTGTTAAATACCATCTAGTCAGCTCTGACTCATAGTGCCCCTGTATAGGGTACCTGAGCATATAAGAAAACTCAAAAGACAGTTGAATAAAGAAATAAAACTATCAGCAGTGAAATGAATGAAGAAAACATTATTTGGTCCATGAAAATAAGTTTGAGACCCTTGAGCCTCCTTCTAATGATAGAAAATCAAATTAAGAACTGTGCTATTCAGAACTGATTATGAATTTTGCATATATTTAAATTATTCAGAATTTCACTTAAATGGGAAAAGCAGACTAAATCTCTTTGAAACAAGGTAATACCAACTTAAATTTTGATAAAAGATAAAGGGAGGAAGCTCAGAAACATAATTACTTATATTTTTCTTTTCTTTTTTTAAACACATGTTAATGAAAGAAAGGAAGGAAGGAAGGAAAAAACCCTATTGGACAGTTCTGCTCTGTCCTACAGGGTTATTATGTGATGGAATTTTTTTTTTTTTTAAAAAGAATTTTTCTTATGAAAGTGCTATTGTAAAACATGTTGGGATTTTAACCAGTTTTATTCTATGTCTTTACTTTGGAGGTCAAGACATCTTTATGACAGAGGAACAGAAAAAATATTACAATGCAATGAAAAAACTTGGATCCAAGAAACCTCAGAAGCCCATACCTCGGCCATCAGTAAGAATTATTCATCTTCTTTAACATTCCAGAGCCATATTTCACTGTGGACAATGCTCTGGATCAAACATATTGGGCAATATCACCAATATAATTCAATTATGACACAATTCACAGCTGCTACACTTAATAATGATTGTTGTTTTTGTTGTGTAGGGTTTCTAAAGCTGTAAATCTTTACAGGAGCAAAATATTGTATCTTTTCCCTGCGGTGCATCTGGTGGATTTGAACTGCCAATCTTGTGTTTAGCAGTCCAACACTTATCCTACAGCGCCACCAGCATGCCTCCTAATAATAGTTGTTGTTTTTGTTAAGTGTCATCAAGTTGATTCCGACTCATAGCAACCCTGTGTAGGGCTTCTGAGAAGTGGCTGTTGGACTGCCGAACTTGTGGTTCAAATCAACCTTGTGGTACACTGCTTATCCTACAGTGCCACATCAGGACTCCTTATAATGAATGTTGTTGTTTAATGCCGTCAAATCTGTTGCAACTCATAGCAACTCTGTATAGGGTTTCCAAGTAGTAGCTGATGGATTTGAGCTGCTGATCTTGTGGTTCCCAGTCCAGAGCTGATCCACAGCACCACACCAGAAGTCCAATAATAATGATTAGCAGGTACTTAAAATGATGTCATCAAAAATATGTTTTCTACACTATGAAAACAAACATGTCTGAATCTTAAAACAGACAGATAAAAGGATTCATTTAAATTAAATTCTATTCTCACGTGTCTTTATGGTTTGATAGTTAAAAACCTTCAAACTTAGTTCCCAATAATTACTTCCAAAAGAAGCTTTGCCTTTACTACAATAACCTATCCTGCCAATATCCTGCTCCTCTGATCTTATTACTCAGGACTCATTTGTGTTGTTATGAGTTAGAACCATCGTGAAGGTACTTATCAACAAGAACAACTGATGTCCTTATAAACACATGGAAGTTTTCAATCTCTCCAACTTATCCCCATGATATCCTTATGTGCTAATTGTTTTAGTCATTCCTATGACTAAAAAGAAAAGAAGTCCTGGTGTGGTGCTTTAGAATAAGCACTGGACTGCTAACCTAGAGTCGGCAGTTCAAACTCATCAGTTGCTCCTCAGAAACCCCAAACAGTGTTACTATGAGTTGAGAATGACTCGATGGCACTTGACAACAACAACATGATTGAAAAAAGGAGTCCTGGTGTGATACTGTAGGATAAGTACTGGACTGCTAAGTGCAAGTTTGTCAGTTCAAACCCACCAGCTGCTCCATAAGAGAAAGATGAAGCTTTCTGCCTCTGTAAAGATGTATTGTGTCAGAAAACCTATACAGGGTCACTATGAGTCAGAATCAACTTGATGTCCATGGTGATGGTGGTTATGTGCCGTGGAGTCGGTTCCGACTCATAGAGACCCTTTACAGGGTTTCCGAGGATGGAAATCCTTAAGGGAGCAGAAAGCCTCATCTTTCTCCCATGGAACAGTTGGTAGTTTCAACCTTGAGGTTCACAGCCCAATTCGTAACCACTATGCTACCAGAGCACCTGAGGTTTTTGTTTTATTTTTTTGTTGTTTTTAATGATTAAAAATATCCCTAGATGAAAAGAAAGAAAAGAAAAGGATATTGTCAAAATAATTTAATAGTTCACCAAATGCATTAAAATAAGAAAAAAATGTATTCAAAATATAATCCCTATGTTGTTATTAAGTGTTGTCAAGTTGATTCTGACTCATAGTGAACCTATATAGAGTTTGTGAGGAGCAGCTGGTGAGTTTGAACCACCAAATTTGCAGTTCATACTGACCTTGCAGTTCAGCACATTATCCCTCAGTGCCACACCAAGACTCCCATATATTCTACAGAGCTTCATAATTATGGAAAGCCATATTAATGACATATTAGGTTTCTTGGGAGCCCTGGTATGGCACTGTAGAATAAGCACTTGACTGCTAACTGCAAGGCTAGCAGTTCAAACCCACAAATTGTTTCTCAGAAATCCTATACAGGGTTGTTATGAGTCAGAGGCAACTTGATGACACTTAGTAACAATAACAATGTTCACTAAACTGTAGTTTAACTCACTTATTCTTTGAGATAGATCGGAAATAAGGAAACTGAGGTATGAAGTAGGTAAGTATCTTATCCAAAGTCACAAAGCCTGTAAATGTCATAATGGATTTGAGGTCTTGGGCCTCCTATGACTGATTTCACTTTACCATGTTTTTAAGAATGGCCAAAGCTAGGGTTTTGGGATAGGGAATGGTACACAGAAGATACTGAAGATCACAAAAATTTTACAGTTAGTAGAAAAAAAAGTGGTCAGTTCAAGTTTGGCTTTTGTGAAGGCAATGAATTTTTATTTTATACAACGATATGAAAATTTTCTTTCAGTAATAATTATTCAGATATAGAAACAATATGAGGTTTATTGGGTTAAAGTTAAAAAAAAGAAAAATTGTAAAACAACACATGCCTTTTTGTTGGAGCATATGTTAGGAAGAGGCAAAGGGAAAGATAAATTAACAAAGACATAGATTCACAGAGATAGAAAAAGTAGAATGAAATAGGAAAATAATTAACATATCTATAGGAAGAGAAGGTATAAACCAAAATTTCAAAAACATTAATATATGAATTAGGGTATTCCTTCATTATAAAAGTCTATATGAACCTACTTTATAAATATTCATTATTGATAGTCATTTTAAAAATTATCATAGTTATTAAAATCAAGCAAAATCTATACATTTTATCAACCAATTGCCATAATTTTATGCCTTAGTCACCTCTCTCTTCCCAGGGGTCCTAAATGAACAAAATTTTTCTGGTCTTATCATGTTGTCATTGTTGTTTTTCATTTTCTTAAAATATGAACAGAAACAGAGCATGCAAAAATATTTGTGGTAATGTGAGGTTGATATCGTACCGAAAGGATGATGTAGTCAGATGTTAAGGACTCTAGGCATATTACTGAATCATTTATGAAATATAAATATTATTAACCTTTGCTTTCCCTTCTCTCTCTTTCTAGAATAAATTCCAAGGAATGGTCTTTGACTTTGTCACTAGACAAGTCTTTGATATCAGTATCATGATACTAATCTGCCTCAACATGGTCACAATGATGGTAGAAACTGATGACCAGAGCAAATACATGACTCTTGTTCTGTCCCGGATCAACCTTGTGTTCATTGTACTCTTCACTGGAGAATTTGTGCTGAAACTTATCTCCCTCAGATACTACTACTTCACCATAGGCTGGAACATCTTTGATTTTGTGGTGGTGATTCTCTCCATTGTAGGTAAGAATGATTTACTTACAGAGAGGTACAAGCATAGGAAAATGGCTCCCAAAAAAACTTTCAACTGTGTGGCATGGAAATTAGGTATGAGGATCATAATGTGTTTAGATCTGAATTTTAGTACTAACATGTTTGAATAAAAACTGTGAAACCTGAGTTTACTGACAAAATTTTGCTAGGCTTAAACTATGTCAGGAATTTCAGTATGGAGGATGGATGAACAAAAATCAGACATAATTAGACACGCCTAGCCCTAAACAAAGTCATACATAGAAAAAAAGGCAATATCTAGTTT